TGAAGGCATGCCTATTAGAAATCCCATTCCACTAATAGGCATATTTTCACATCTATCCCAATGATTTGGGGGTTACCAGAGTTGAAAGGCATATTTAAGTGATTATTTGATGTTTACATGCTGTAGCATTTCTCTGCACCTTCCTCTGATACTTATGACTCACTGTAGGGTTATGGACAGCACAGACCGTTTACCTCGTGGCAGTTTGCATGGAAATGTCTATACAGAAATTGTACCAGTTGAGCTTCACCAGGATTGTATGCTTTTTATGTGGTTGGTTATGCTTTAATATCTATGCGTGTTATGGCATACCAATGCAGAAGGGATCTGGAGCTGTGTGGCTCTAAGGCTCCTTTCATATTCCTGTAGTTACACCCATTTCTCTAATGAGCAAAACACAACCAGCCCTTCACAAAATAGCCTGATGTTTGACAGTTTTGTGAAAGTAGGAGGCCTTTGTGTGCCTTTCTGGTGTTCGCTCTTAGCGCTCCAGTGCCGTGATCTTGGATCACCACCTGCTGTCTGCTGAAAGAATTCATCCTGCATTGTGTTTGCTGAACCACGTTGCTCCTCGCTAAAACATCATCCCCAGTTCCCACCTTTCTGCAAGGTACCACTACATGCAATTACTTACTCTTCTTCCACTTAGCTTGGAGCTAGAAAGCTTGTTAATTAAGTTAAAGTGGGATAAACTCTTAGAAATGTATCCCCATTAGGGATTTTTCACTGGTTTAGCTAATTTGTTTTTTTAAACAAAATGTGGGATGGGTGAGCTGTGTAGGCAAAATCCTGACTTGAGGAAGTTGACGCCTGCGAGGATGTGGCCAGACCTTTGTAGGGCTGAGATTAGGGGCCTCAAAGGTTCCCCTAATACCCAGACAGGTATCCTGTATCCCTGTTGTGCCCTGAGGGCTTGGGTGCTGATGAATCAGATGTCAACATTTTGCAAGAGGGGAGCTGCTTTGAATTCCTATCTGATGTGAGTGATTTCTGTGGCATCAGAGCAACAGAATTAATGGAAAACATACCAATTGCTTGTTTTATTTGAGGTAAAGGTTACTGTATAGCGCAGTGAAGTTTATTTCTTTTTTTAAGGAGCATGTGTTAATTACACTGAGTTCCGGTTGCACTGAACAGCCTTTCCCAATTTTGTGAGCATGGGATGGCAGCTAGCATGGTTGGTGCATGGCAGCAGAAACTTTTGGAGGGAATTAATTAACCTGGAACTGCCAAAATTATTCCTGCAGCCAAATGTCCCTCAAGCTTTCCTCACGGAGACTGTAAGCCAGCCTGCACTGTGGCTGAGAGAAGTGTCTGTCTACTCCTGAGCACTAGTTAAGATTTGTTTCATGCCATCACACAAGTTGAAGACGGCAATAGTTTTTGGGGGAGCTGCAGATAGTCTTTCCTAGTCCAGTAATGGTATCCTTGTGTGTGTTTGGGGATGGTGACTGCTCTTGGACATATCCATCTCAGTCTTGTGTTTGAGTCAATGTTTAAGAGAATTTCGTGAGCTAAAACTGGCAGGACTCACAGTGCAGTGAGGTGCATTGTCAAGATTGCATAGACACAGTACTTTCAGTTGAGTCTCTCCACCTACATATGTACCTTAACCGGGAAGTTTGGGGGTTTGTCCATGTTCTTTGTACCTCCTGAGAAGTGAGAAAGGAAGTGCCTCTGACCGCAGGATTTTCTGTGGTGGGTTAGAAGTAGG